ACTAGACTGTCATTTATTGTTTTATAAACATAAAAATGTAAAGTACTTGAATCCATTTTGAATGATTAATTAGTTAATATCCATACCTGGTTGTGCTAAATCTAATTTTGTCATTTTCCAGCCTCCACAAAGAAAATTGCCCTTTAATGTTACACTCTCCTTAAATGGCACAAACTTAAACCAAGAGAACTCAATAAGGTATCCAGGTGTTGTAATAGATTCTAACTTAACATGAAAAGCCATGTAAGCTACAATTCTAAAAATATTAAAAGAAATATTGGTATTCTTTTTAAACTGTATTACAATGTGAATTTAGACATTCTGCATAATCTATATTATGCCCTGGCTTATTCCTTCCTAACCTATGGTTTAATTTCTTGGGGTAACAGCTATTCTTTCACTATTCAGTTTTAAAATGTTCATGTTTCAAACTGAAAGAGAGCAATTCGAATCATGACATTTTCTAAATTTCGTGACCATTTTAGTCCAATTTTTAAGTGTTTAAATACTGTTAAGCTGCCTGATCTAGTCTTTCTTAATTTTGCAGTCTTTATGTACAAATTTCACAACAAACATCTACCATCTGTTTTTGATACCTTCTGTACACAAGTCAATAAAAGACACAACTACAATACCGGAAGTGCTTTGTAGAAGTTCTACACTTTACCTAAAGTAAGAACAAATTCAACATCTTCAACATAAGTTTTAAGGGTCCTAAAAAATGAAACTCTGTTAATGAGAACTCTAAATCCTTTTCTCTTTCAAAATTTAAGTAATCGGTCAAATGCGATCTCGTTAATGATTGTTAGATATATGCATTCATAATATCTTAGATTGCAGTTGTTTCTTTCCCGAATTATGTGATTCATTGTTCTTTCATTAAATTCTGTCAACCTTTCTACGTCTGATATAAGTTATTTTATAGTTCACGTATGTATACATGTAATGTTATAATGTTATTAGTTGTCATATTTACGTGTGCCTTTCTTTTATTAATGCTTTGTACTCATATTTTAATCTAATTCTTTATGACTTCCCTAATAGCTTAGTGATAGCATTTTTACTCTTCTTTCCTTTCTTTTTATGTGTATTTGTGCTATCTTCCTGACCATTAATTTATTTTCATTTAATGTTGTTTTCCTACTGGCTGCCTGGCTCTGCTAGCCCCTATCCCTCTCTACAGCGAGGATCGTGCATCATACGTACCCTATGGTTATTCCAGACAGCCAGTATTCCATTTATTTTCAATATTGTTTTTTAAATGGACCTAGGCAGGGGAGTGCAAATAAAGATTATCGTTGTTGTTCTTCTTCTTGTCGCCCGTAATGATACATTTATATACATAAATATATTTGTAATTAAGTTAGGATGTAACACGCGCTCTCACTGGTTGAAAGAGCTTGTTTTATCAAAGTACAAAACATGGGACCAAAGCTGTCAAGCCATCTGCCTATTTGTACCATGTCTGACCATTTGTGAACTTGGTTGGATTGTGAACTTTGCTGGTCTGAAGGAGAAGTAAGGAGAAACCCTGTCCATGCTCTCGAGTGTGATTTATCCAGTTGTGACAAGATCCATTGAATAACCAGATTAGGTGGCCAAATAAACAGCGACAATAGAATAGCTTTGTTTCTTCACCATCTTAGATTAGTCGAGGTATTTCCCCTCCGTAACCCCCCCCCCCACCCCCCGAATTCTTACGCTTGCGCGACACAACAGAGATTGAGTTAGTATAACATCACATCGCTTGATTCTGATCCGAGCAAAAATAGCAGGATTGCAGGGTGACAGTAAAAACTTATAAAAATGACTATCAAACATCACCCTCAAGATGGCAAAAGTTGACTTGCTCCAGAACTCATCTAATAACAAGAGACTACACGGAGCCTGGCCGAATTTGCTGTTTGAAGGCCTCGGTGATTATGACAAAATTGCTATTGAGTGTTTTTCATTGTTTGTTAACATGGAGAGCTATGGAGATTAAGACTCTGGAACACGTTGATGTTTTGACAAACTGGAAACACTAAAGTCGCCAGATGAAATGAGGGGAGTAACGTAAACAGCGGCAATGTCAACAAAAAAAGGAATGTCACTTCGTGACTTGGCTCGAATAACAGATAAATTCAGAACGATGGTAACCATCCAACTCCACAGAATAATAAATGCATACCTCAGGCGTTCTACAAAACCAGTACTAAATAAATTCTTGCGCTTATCAAATTTCGACAGTGCGTTTCAAATCTTTCTCTGCCTGCGCGTGCCAAATTCCCCTGATTTCTATTCCTATGTGTAGTTCCGGCTCTCAATTATCTGGCCTTTCTACTAAACGTAACTTTAATTGGATTACCATAACAAATATGCTTTACAGAAATTTAAAAAATAGTCAGCGTCATTGATCATGAAGACAGGTGTGGAAAAGAGACTTCACTCTTCCCTTACTTCTTTCATACACGTAAATTTTCCTCGACTCGAAGCGAAATTCTCTGACTTTTCCCTTACCTTGAAGAAACATTTTCCCTGACTTTCTCTGACCTGTGGCAACCATAGAAATACAAATATATTCCAGGCTATCGCTCTAATTAGTACATGAAGGGGTTTAGTGTGAAAATAGCAAGTCAGCTGGTGGAAAAGTTTGGAACAAGTTAAAAATAAAATCCTGGCCTATGTGGGTCGACGAATGTTCGGCTGTCGCCTCCTTCCACCACACAACTGGAAATGAGTCTACGTTCAAATAAACAAGTTTCAAAACACTCGTTTCAAAACACTCGTTTCAAAATTCTTCGGGTTACCGTCACTTCTTTTAAAGCAATCATAAGACCTCATAACCTAAGCCCTTTTAAAATTACTTATCTTAATAGTTTCACTATTGAACTGAACTTCCTGTACCACGGATAACGATTGCGTAAGTATGTTTATCTAATTCCTGAAGGATTGCATGAATGTACACAGCTTTTATTTCGACGTTTATATACAAATCTCTTCACAAAGATCAGATAAGAAAATATCTTAAATTTAAAAAATAAAAGAATGTCCAAAAAAAAAAACAAACAAAAAAAAAAAACAAATAAAATAGCGATGCCATTAAAATAATCAAACAGTCTCATTGGTAAGAAGCAAATGTCACGATAATAAAACCCAAAAAAATTTCCAATTTTCAAAGTTAAACAGGTCCGTTGACGAAAGTGAAAACGACGGAATAGAAATGGTTGTGTTATTGACTAACGTAAGTCCCGAGGTGCGGTCTATGCTCATTGATGCTGACCAGAGAGGTGGAGAAACATGTTCATGTACGCGAATATAAGAATAGAGACCGTGCTAGCCAACCTTTTTAAACGTTCTTGTCATAAACGTTAGACAGTCATTTCAGTAGGTCCTATAAATCTGAGCAAATAGCAGAACCATTAAATGACAACTCAACATCTCGCATTAGTTATCGAGTTAATGTATGGAATAATGGGACCTAGCTCCGAATGCTCAATGCGAAAACAGCGGAAACGATCATTCTATGAGGCAATGAAGGTATATTCAACGCATATTGGAGTGCGTTAGTCCGCACTGTCTTTGCCAAGAATCTTATTTTGGAGACAAAGATGGTAACGTAAAGCGTTTAAGGATTTTCTCCTGAAGAGCTGTTGCTTCGTGAGGCAGTTCTACCAGAGTTGGGAATCAAACTGTTGTTTCTTTCCTCGTCGACATTTCAGCGGTAACAAGCTCAAAGGCATCCTCCCGACCAATCTGTTGCAGTGTTTTTGCCAATTTTGACAGAGAAAATCGATTTTGTGGTCCACCAATCGTCTCCAAATAGTTAAAGAGGATTTCTGTAGGAGAGTGACCTTTCCTACTATCCATCCACTTAATGTCTTCACAACTGAAGCCAAAGTTCTCTGCCAAAACTTTCCAATCGCTCTCGTGTGGGGGGTCAAGTTTCACGGCAAGTTTACTCCGTAGTTCGCGACTTAGCAAACCCACAGTCTGCAGTGACTCGAAACCAACAGAAAAGTATCCAGACGACATCTGTCTTGCGAACATGGGAGACGTTGAAGGGGTACCCCCACATGCACCTACGACCTCTGATTGTCGATAATGCCAAGGATTAACGATTGATCCTGCATTCAATAATGCCGTGGAATGATCCATCAGGCTTGCAAAACTTGCTGCTGGGGGGAATTTCGCAGAATCTTCCCACCTAGCAGCGAGGCTGGTGTTTGATTGCCTCTGATCGTTGCTTGGGCCTGTGCTTTCCTAAAAACATAAAGAGAGGCAACTTTACCTTAAAGTAACTGACTAATGTAGATGTAATCCTCTTATCAGTTTTCTTTATCTTTCAAGGTCAGTCAGTCTGTCTGTCAGCATGCCGCGCGAGCAAGTCAGTCAGCTAACCAACCAGTGGTTAGGAACCCTGTGCCTAGCCAGCCTCAGGTGACCTCTACACTTATTATTTGGCAGAATGGCAGGAGACATCTCGATTCTTATGATCTATCTCAAAAGAAAACTAAGAGCAAGCAACTTCAGTTTCTCATTGGGTTCGTGATAAATTCTGGTCATTAGATCTTTGCATATTTTATTAAATGAAAGCTCCACTGGTGAACCAAGTTGCCGTTAAACAAATAAAGATGTCTTTTCACGTGAAGGTATTTTTTAGAAAATTTTGGAACAAAAACCTAAACATCCAAAAACTAAAAACAAGCAAAAGTAATAATGAAGTTTCTATTTCACACCGTCATAACGTCACATCGTTGCCACTAGTCTCATCCAAGAATACATCTACTGTCTGCAAGGGACTCATACGTCCCGTGAACCGTCGCACGATCTAAACGCTGGAACACACATACTTTCATTTTTAAAATGCCCAATATCTGTTTCAATTTTTTCTCACACTGACTATAATAATTATTATTCCCATTTATACCAAACCTCTTTAATTTTAACGACCATCGAATAATTCTAAGAAAACTAGTTTAAACAGTGACGGTTTCCATAAGAGCTAGTAGTCAAATTTCAACAAACTCACATCACGTCCACGTTTGACCGTTGTGACAACGTTAACTTCTCTTTCGTCGCCATTTTCACAATCCTGTCGCACTTCAAATTGAGCACTAAATCCAGACACACTTGTGTCACGAGAGGAGAACACAAACGTGGCATTCGGTAAGCGGTGAATACCTTCCCATATGTCGCGGAAATGAATTTTCTGAGGAGAGAAGAGTAATTTAGTCCAAAAAAAATATTAACGAAATCTCAGCCAGTGACAACTACATCAGCTCTATTTTCTTTCTGTCGTTAAGAATTTTGAAATGGTCAAGCCTTACAGTTTAGCAAAAATAAAATTACCATAAAATTATAACAAACTTGCAGCTAAAACACTGCCAATGGCTGAATTCATCCAGGTTAAAACCCTTTTATCATAAAATGCCAGCCATTTGCATTTTCAGTTTTGTTACAGAGAAGGCAATCAATGGGTCACAATATACATGTCCGCAGTAAACCGCCAATTAGTTTAAAAAGCCATCTCTTTCAAAGGGAGGCCGAGGGTTCTACTTTAATGGAAACAGGCAACCATTTTTCATGTAGACATTGCACTTGCTTCCGTATATCATACAAAAGATGAATTTACCTTTGTTTCCTTCACGGTATGCCACCCCCTTTCACAATCGGTAAGTTTGACCAAAAGATCTCCTCCGCCGTCCTTGAAGTGAAGTTGTTGAGGAGGTTCGATCGTTTCACCTCGATACTTTTTAGTTTCGTGATTGTATACATCCTGAAATGAGAAGCAAGTACAATGAATAAGAACGAGCGAATAAAATATGTAACAATATCTAAAGTAATTCTAATGACACTCATTCTCGAGGCTGTGTTCTATGGAAAATTGAAGGGAGCCCAGTGCTCTGAAACTTTGAAATACAGGGTGCCCAGCACATGCTTTGTAATAAAAAACTAAGATTCCTGAGTCGCCAACGAGCAAAAGTAAGACGCCAGGGGCCACTGGGCGCTGTTAGACCACAGCTCTGATTCTCTGCTAATTCCTTTGCAGAAATACGGAGCTTAAGCAACCACGACGACGAACGGACGACGAACGGAGGACGACGACCGGAAGTAGCAAGAACGTCACTGCGCAAGCGCGAACCAAGAATTCCGTCGTCGTCTTGTCGTCGACAACTTGAGAAGGACCTGTTTCACGTCATCGTGAACTTCCGAACTTCAAAGCAGTTTTTCTCATCTAAAGGTGCGGGTTTAAGGTCAGTTTTTAGACAGTCTATGGCCGGTTGGAGTTTGTATTCGCTTCTTCGTTTGATTTAAACCACCCTGTTCAGTTTTCTAAACAAATAAAATTCGAAAACCCACCAACTCATATTCCTTCCTCCGC